CATGCGGTTCTAACCTTAGCGGGCGTGCATTCGTCTTAAACGTTTGCAGCAGTTCCAAGGGTGGAGGGCGGGTCGTTTCAATGTGTGGCTTTCGTTTGATCGCCGCGCACATTCGTCTGCAACTTTTGTAGCAATTTCAAGGATGGAGGGCAGGTCGGTTCAAAACGTGGCTCTCGCTTTAGCGCCGCACGCATTTTGGTTTATATCCTACACTTTCGCAGCAGTTTCAAGGTTGGAGGGCATGTCATGTTCAAAATGTGGTTCTTCCCTTAGCGCCGTGCACCCTCGTCTTGGAAGTTTGCAGCAGTCTCAAGGATGGTTGGATGACCGTTTTCAAAGCGCGGGTCTTGCCTTAGCGCCACGCGCCCTCGTCTTAGTTTGCAGCAGCTTCAAGGACGGAGGGCGGGTCGTTTTCAAATTTAGTTCCCCACATGTTTGGTGGGGTTATGGTTTTCTTCCCTCTCGCGTCCCACCCGCGTCTCACTCACACACTCACCTCCCTCCCTCCTTCCTCCTCACCTCTTCCTTTCTCGCCTCGTCCACGCGCAGCACAACACATGCACGACACGCACACGAGACACGTGTCTGCAGCCGCACGCATGCACACACTCGCACAAACACACACACACACACTCACAACGCCAGTGCACGCCTGACGTGTTCACGGCATCACACACCCACGACGTATGCACCACATACTGGGCACCCACGTGAGACACAAGCCCCGATACAGCCGCGCACGCATCATACACATGCCACATACTGGGCACCCACATGAGAGACACATCCAGATGCAGCCGCACACGCATCACAGACATGACACGCACCTCGCAGCACACGCGCGCAATATTCGCAAGGCGTGGCAGGCGTGGCATTTTCTCGACACCAGAGGGGGTGCGCAGGGTGGTGGTCCCTCACCGCGGTCTCTATCCGTCCCAGGGTCGCGGGGCGTGGCAGGCGAGGCACTTTCTCGACACCAGAAGGGGGTGCGCAGGGGGTGGTCCCTCACCGCGGTCTCTATCCGTCCCAGGGTCGCGGGGCGTGGCAGGCGAGGCACTTTCTCGACACCAGAAGGGGGTGCGCAGGGGGTGGTCCCTTACCGCGGTCTCTATCCGTCCCAGGGTCGCGGGGCGTGGCAGGCGAGGCACTTTCTCGACACCAGAAGGGGGTGCGCAGGGGTTGGTCCCTCACCGCGGTCTCTATCCGTCCCAGGGTCGCGGGGCGTGGCAGGCGAGGCACTTTCTCGACACCAGAAGGGGGTGCGCAGGGGGTGGTCCCTCACCGCGGTCGCTATCCGTGCCAGGGTCGCGGGGCGTGGCAGGCGAGGCACTTTCTCGACACCAGAGGGGGGTGCGCAGGGGGTGGTCGCTTACCGCGGTCTCTATCCGTCCCAGGGTCGCGGGGCGTGGCAGGCGTGGCACTTTCTCGACACCAGAGGGGGTGCGCAGGGTGGTGGTCCTTCACATCGGTCTCTATCCGTCCCAGGGTCGCGGGGCGTGGCAGGTGTAGCATTTTCTTGACGCAACGGGTGGTGCGCATGGGGGCAGTTCTCGCCGTTGCATTCCATCAGTGGCACTAGCAGGGGTTTGCACAGCATCCAGATCGCCAGGGTACCCAATCGAAGGTCGCAGTTGCTTGTTGCTTGGTGCGCACATACCATAACATAGGTATGTGGGGGTTCCTCGGTAGTGCATTTGCCGTCTAAGCGCCGCCTGCATTCGTTTCAACTTTTACAGCAGTTTCCAAGATTCGATTGATCGAAGTCCAAGTGCCGGCTTCCTGGCACCATTTACGATGTTTCGGACGCAGCAATAAAGCTTATTCGCGGTGTTGAAGTTCCAGGAATGGTGTTCTGGCACGATGCAGGACTGTCAGGACGCGATCGTCACGTTGATTCGCAGGAATGCTTGCCGATGCTTCGTAGGCAGGGCGTCCCCGTGAGAGACTCGAGGTACTACAGGCTTCGCAACCTCATGCGAGGTTGCCATCCGCTTCGGTCCCGCTTGTTTGTGGGCCCTCCGATTTTGCTGCGGAAGCGACGGCTGCTGGAGTCGGCCGAACTGCCGCCTCTGCCTGCTCTCTCTCCTACGGTCGGGACTGGGAGTGGGGGGGTGGGGGTGGGGTGGACGGGGCAGGAGTGCTCTCCGCCGCCCGCTTTACAGGCCGACCTGGCCTTGTGGGACGGCCTCTCAGGCTTTCCCATTGCCAGCGCAGAGGAGGACGACGACGACCCATCCCGCGGTGCGTGGGATCGGGTCGAGTGCGTCCCCTGCGCTGGTTAGGGGTTTTTTCGAACAAGGCTGGTTCGCTTGCGGTCAGTCTCTATCAGTAAAAAAAAGAAGTCCCTGGAATGGCGTTCTGGTGCGATTGAGTATTCTCGGGCGGCTGTTTCTCCACATGGCATTTCCGCAAGAAGTTGAAATCCCTGCAGGGACCTGTGGACACGAAACTTGGGGGAACGGTTTCTTGCAACGTCGTTGATGCGTCTTGGGTTTGCTGTTGTCCTCCGTCCCCCCCCATCACAGTCTAGGACCAGACGGGCTCGAGTCACGAGAGAGGCCTGTCCACGACCCTGCGCCAGGAGCGCCCTCGGGGCAACACGCACGCCCAGGTTCGCTCACCCGCGCAGCCATCCAGACGAGCAGGTCAGCCCAGCAGCACGTGCAGTCAACCCGCATAATAAGGATGGGCAGCCTTCCCAAGGGTACCCTTGCATCCTTGCCTCCTCGGCTCATCCTTGGCCACTCTCGTTGGCCGCGCCCCGCTCGAAAAGCTTCGAAATGGGCGTCCAAGGCCCTTACATCCTTATCGCGCATCATTCTGATATGGGCCGACTGCAAAAGGGGCGGGCGGGGGTGCTCTTGTGTCGAGTCTCGTCGTCGTGGTGGCGCCTCCCTCGTCTTCCCCAGCCTGTCTTGGCCTCCGAATTCTCGGCCGCAGGGAAGCTCTGCTCCGAGGGGGGTCACTCCGGCGTGGACCTCCCGCGTTTTTCCGCTTCGGGGATCCGTGGATCCAGCGGTTCTGGAAGGTTCCGCGGGCCGGCTTGTCAGTCAGCCTCGGGTTTTGGGCGTTGCGTAATGGGGGGGTCGTAAATGGGGGGGTGGCGAGGGTGGTCCGAAAAGGTACCCAAACGGTACCTAAACGAGCCCCCTGGGGCTCCGGAGGGGCCCGAAAGGGGCACGAAAGGGGACCGTTTCTGACCCCCCCATTTATGACCCCCCCATTAAGCCACGCCCAAGGGTTGGGAGCGATGCAGGGCTTTAGCAGTGCTTTGGAAGGCTGGAACTGCTCGGAGCGTTTCTTAAGCAAGGCCACCACAGTCAGCAACCCTACTCCCCCTCTTCCATCCGGCTCCAGCTTCATTGGTCATCTCTTCGGGTCTGGCTCCCGTGCTACTGACTCTTATTTCTGCGTGCTCGTTCGTTTCGCGTGGCCACACGCGACACCAACCTCGACCCATCAGTGACCGGCCTATTGCCCATAGTTCTCCTTGCATGCCGGCCCCCCGACGCCAACCTGCTGATGCCGCATAGGTGCTCCATGCGGGACTGCCGCCTACACTGTTTTTTTCGTCGCAGCGCGGCAGTGGCAGTTCGCACGCGCGGTCAGGCGGTCCGGGCAACGGAACGCGCATATCAACCGGCGGCAGGAGGAGGGAGACAGGCGAAAGCGGCCGCGGGAGGAGGGAGGCGGGGGGGCACGCACATTGCGAGGTCCGTCGCCGTGGAGCGGACAGGGCGGCCAGCCAGTGCGCTTCCCCCTACACACTGAGCGTGCGAGACACACACACACACACACACACACTTAGGATGGTTGCTGGGGCTTCGTGGCCGACGAGAGCGCTATCTGCTCTGCTCGAACCGCTACCCAGAGTGCCCACTCATTGACTCCATCCTCCCTCCTCTTCCTTCCACCCTCCTTCCCTACTCCCCCCCACTTCTTCTTTTCCCTCTCTCCCCCTTCCTTCCTCTCTTACCCTTGCCGAGGAAGTGATTCTTCCTGGCTTCGGAGAAGTAGCCCCCGAGCGAACTTGCTGAGTGGATGCCAGGGGACACGCAAAAAACGTGGCGATGCAACCTGAGGGACGCGTGGCCTGGTCGGCAAGGGCACCCGTGGCTCCTGCCAAGAGTTGCTGCGACTGACTCATCGCCGACAGTCCTCATAATGCAATAGGTGCTACAAGTGGCTGGACTGAGCAGCCGAGGAGGAGGAGGAGGAGGAGGAGGAGGAGCAGGAGGAGGAGGAGGAGGAAGGAGGAGGAGGAGGCAGGGGAGAGCCTTCAGAGATCGGGAACTGCTCAGGACAGCCAAAACGGAGATGATCGAGACGCGTGCCGATACGTGGCGATGCCTGCGCGTTTTGCATCGATCGGCTCGGCCGCCTAATGTCCGAGGTGCGGCCACCTATGTCCCCACTGGGTTTCGACCCGATCGGCTGGGTTTTAACGGTTTTGCAGGCGGTGTGATCGATCCGCGGTCTAGTGCAGTCGCCAGACAGCCTCGGGCGAGGAACTCCCCGACATATTTCTTCCGGTCAGGGACTTGTGATCAGCGTGTCGCTCAGCTGGTTCTGGCCCGCCTCGCTTCGACGCGACACGCCAACCACTTCCTGGTCTCCAGGTGTCTGCGTCCCGAGCTTTTCCCAGCCTCCCGCTATGCGGAGCGGAGCGACACGCTACCCGCTTCCAGGGCATGGCATGTCGCCCAGGCCGCCGCCGCGACACGCTAAACAACAGTTCCTGACCGTAGGACTTCCAGCACACGCCGACACATGATAATCAACCCGCACTCCCCCCTACCTCCCTCAGTTCGCCCGCCTGGCGGTTTGGAAGAATTTGCCCCATCGCGCATGCCTTGGGTGAAGGGCCTCAGCTCAACGGATCATAGATGGCCGTGCCGTGCGCGGTCGGTCGCTACGAGGCTCCTAGGTCGGAGATGGCCAAGCTTCAGGATGCACAGTCAACATCCATAATAAGGACGCGCGCCTTTCTCTAGGGTGCCCTTGGGTCCCTGCCTGCCTCTGCCTCTGCGACCCGTCCTTGGCAGCCACATCGCACGGACATGCAAGGATCTTTGACGAATCATTTGGAGGAAGGGGAGGCCAGTCCCCCCCCCCGATTTCCGAAGGCGTAGATTTTTCCCGACTTGTCCCTTCGGGCTTCGCAGCTTCTTCCCAAAGACCAGCTCCTCACCCCAAGCCGCCTTCTGACGGCCCCCGGGCCCAGAAGCGGCCCTTCCGGAGGTTGAAGACGGCGAATACGTATCGTTCCGTGGAATTCTCGAGGACGAGGCGAAACACGCTGTGACACGGAGGCCGTCTCCCTCGACGAGGCAACCGTTGGAAAGCGTTGCACACGGCGAAAACGGCGCAGCAGCCGGCGCGATTTTCCATCGAGGCTGCCCACCGGGCCCGCCGGAGGGCTACTGCTCCGTCTATTTCCACGTGCCCAGCGAGACGTCGGTGACGAGGACGCTCTTCCTGGGGCGCGCCCGGCACGGCCCCGCCGACGCCGACGAGATCAAGAACTGCGGTGGGGCAGTGGCAGGGCCGCCTACGACCTGGTCCGATGCGGTGCGAATCGATTCGCCCGTTGGGTTATGTCGGGCCTGTCCCCCTACAGGGGGTTCTTCGACGAAAAATTAAAGATACCCCCCAAATACTCCCAAAGGCAAAAAATACAAAAATAGTCCCAGGACTATTTTTGTATTATTTTTGGACTATTTTGGGGGTATTTGTTACTTTTCGTCGAAAATCCCCCTGTAGGGGGACAGTCCCGACTTACCCGTTGGGGCCGCGATTCCTACTCGATTTGCTTCGAGTCACCGGCATCGGCTGGGGCCAGCCGGAGGGAGCTGGGCGCGGCGAGCCGATGCCAATGTCGATGCGGGGGCGATTCGTTGGCGGTCCGATCCGCTTTCGATGCGTTTTCGATGTCGCGATCCGATCCATCAGAGCCCCGAATCATCAGGGGTAACTCGGGTCAGGGATAACTCGGGTTCGTTTTTCGGGAATCCAAACCCGAGTTACCCCGGACCCGAGTTACCCCGGATAACTCGGGCGCCCAAATCCAGCTCAGGCCCGAAGGGTGCCAGGAGGAGCAGGAGGGCAGGCTCGAAGGGACGTCGATCTCCAGGATGGAAGGGGGCGACGTGGGAAGTGGAGGGGAAGACAGTGGACAACTCTTTTCGGGTGTTGCTAGGAGTGCCCCTGGCCCAAAGTGCCCCTAGCTTTTCGTTCAATTTTGGAGCCCCTGGGGCCCCCTGGGCCTCGTGAGGGGTGCTCTGGAGGCCGCCTGGGCCGCCCCGAGAATCCTGGGGGCACCTTGGGCCAGGGGCACTTCGATAGGGGAACAAAAAGTGGCATAAACATACAAACTCGGAGGTCCGCGCGGATTCCTCGGATCGGCGCTGGACCCGGCGCCGGAGGCGCCGCCGGGGGGCCCCAGCGCCGATCCGAGAAATCCGCGCGGACCTCCGAGTTGCTACGCTTATGGCGTTTTTCGTTCCCCTCTTCTAGCAGCACCCGATCTTTGGGCTCCTCGGATCTGTGTCCACTCCCGTGGGCCTCCCTGGGTCACTGGCGTGTGGGCTGGCGGGGTGTTCCGGCACCTCGGAGCAGCCTGGGCGGCCGAGCGCGGGGCTGCCCGCGGCCACTGCCGCAGAGGCCTGAGCGACGTGCCCCACTGGCCCTGGGCGGGAGCGGGCGGGCGGCAGTGGGAAGGGTCGGGAGGAGGAGGAGGAGGAGGAGGAGGAGGCGGCGGAGGAGGAGGAGGAGAAGGAGGAGGAGGAGGAGGGATGGGGTCCTGAGGGATGGGGTTAGGGGGACGAAGAATAACATGAGCACAAGAGCTCGGAGGTCCGCGCGGATTTCTGGGATCCGCGCTGGCCCCCCTCATGTCTCTGTTTCTTTTCCTATGGGAAGGGTCGGTGGTTCAAACATGGGGTCCTGAGGGATGGGGTCTTGAGATTATGGTGGTCCAACACGCTTTGGCCTCGATGGCCAGGACTACGGTCGAGCACCAAGGGGAGTAGTTACCGAACCTGGAGGGCCGTCGGGCGTCGGGCCCTGGGAGGCGATGCTCGTGCTGCACTCGGGCAGCATGTCGGACAGACACTGCTTTGCTACTTTTTTGGGGGACCCTTAGGGCGAAGGACCCCAACTTTGAACCACCGGGCGAGGGGGGGCGGGAGAAGCTGCTCAGCCACGCGCAGAGGGGGGTATGGGGGAGGGGGGAGCGCTTCTTAGAGGCACTCCCGCCTCTCAGAAGGCGCGGGCCTTGCCTGCAGATGCAAGGCCGCCACCGATCAAGGAGCGGCTTGCCTCTCGGAAGCAGTCCCGCCCTCCCCCCCCTGCCCCCTTTGTGCGCGTCGCCAGGGTGTCGGGGGGCGCGGGAGGAGCGGGGCGCGCGAGGCCCAGGGACAGCCGCGAGGCGAGGCTGCGAGCAAGGGGCAGCCGTGCCAGGGCGGGCCCTCGGCCGGGGGAGAGGCGTGTCCGAGATGTGCGTCCTGACGAACGAGATCGACAAGGCCGCGGGGGAGGCACGGTGCAGAGCTTGGCATCGCTCGGACGTGTGCATTTTTTCTCGGCGAGCACCATCGAGGACCATCCTGGACCATCGAGCAACAAAAAACACGCACGAAACCGAAACGTGCACGGGAAACGGGCGTCCGAGCGACGGCAAGAGAGGGGGTTGCTGCCTCCAGGCAGCTCCTGGGAATTCGAGTCACGCCTCGAGGGAAGGGAGGGCCGACGCAGTCAGGCGGAGGGCGGGGCGACGGGGACGGACTGACTTGGTGCGAGAGGGAGTGAGGGGAGGCGGAGGAGTATACTGAGGAGGAGAGGGGGAGTAGGAGGGTGAGAAGGATAATGGAGGAAGGGGGGGAGTATACTGAGGAGGATGGAGGAAGGAGTAATGGAGTGACTGGAGGGGAAGGCAGGCGAGAGAGAGAGAGAGAGGAGGGAGGCAAGGCGAAGGAGGGATGAGGGAGGAGGACGGAGGAGCGACGAGGCAGAAGCGAAAGGCGAGGAGGAAGGACGGAGGCGGAAGGAGCGGAGGAGCAGGAGTGAGCGTGTAGGGAAACGACTCCGTCGTATAATGCCTCGGCAACCCCAAGCCGCGCAGCTGGCGTCAGAAAGGCACGCCCCGCTCCTCTCAGTGCAGAAAGGATGCAACTCTGGTCTGCGCCCTCCGCGCCGCACCTTTAACCAGCGCGAAAGGGTTGCCCAGTGGCTCGGGAACAAAACAACTGCAGGGGAAGGAAGAGCAAGAGCAGCAGCAGCAGCAGCAGCAGCAGCAGCAGCAGCAGCAGCAGCAGTGAGCAGTGCAGCAGCAGCAAGCAGTGCAGCAACCACAGAGTGCGCGCGGCGAGGGCTTTGGATCTGCTGCGGCAGCCCGCCGCCGCGGCGTCCTGGAAGCTCACCCGACGGAGCAGGGCGGCAGACGACCGAGCGCCTGCGCCTCGACACGCCGCCGGCAGGGCAGAGCATGGTGAGCGCGTCCGGCCACCGTACGGCGCCCTCCAGAGGGCGATGCACGGCCGCACGCTCCCCCCACCGAACTGTGAGCTCGGCAACCCACCACGAAGCTGAATCGTGAAAGAACCTCTCGGATTCCCTTCGATCGGCCTTGGCCCCCCCAAACGACAGGGAGAGGGGTCCAGCGCAGATCCAAGAGTTCCTCGCGGAGCTCCGAAAGTTTATGGGTACAACTTTTCCTCTTCCTCTATTGGAGTCGCCCCAGCCCCTGTGACGGATGCCGATCAGCGCGTTTGGGAAAGGACCGAACTTCGAATCGATTGTAATATTCCATTCTCCACCATTTCCCCCCTGCACAGTCGCTCTGGACGCTGGGCTCGTCGTCCTCCTCGTCCTGCTCCTCCTACCTTTCAGGAGGGAAAAAAACACAGACACAATTAATCGTCGATTCCCCCGAAACTATTGGAAACTATGGGAAGTGTGGGGGAAGACGAAAACCCAGAAAATATTGAAACATATGGGGAATCCTGGAATTTGTGTGTATTCATATGTGTGTGTGTATGTGTCCCTTGGCACCCTCAACCTTCTCCTGCCTCGTGCTCCTCATTGTTCTCCCTCCACACTCTTCGTCGTCCTCGCCTTTGCCATCATCCTTCCCCCTGCTCGCTCTCCTCCCTCCCTCCTTCTCCATCCCGCCTCGCTTTCGTCGTTGTCGTCGTCGGCGTCGTCATCGTCGTCGTCGTCGTCCTCGTTGGCTTCGTCGTCGTCGTCGTCGTCGTCGTCGTCGTCGTCGTCGTCGTCGTCGTCGTCGTCGTCGTCGTCGTCGTCGTCCCCCCCTTCTCTTTTTCTCCCAGTCCTCCTCGTGTTTCGACTCCTTCCCTGCGGCTGCCCCCTCGGGGCGCAGCCGCACGCTCCGGGCCGCTGCTTCTCCCTCCGCAGTGGGGAGCCTGCCGCCCGCCGAATCTCGGCTGGCCTTTCGAGGCGCGGGGGCGTCGATCCCCCTCGGCAGGGGAGGATCGAGGAGGATGGGGATCGACGATCAAGGAGCATCGAGGAGAGTCGAGGATCGAGGATCGCTGATCGAGGATCGAAGGATTGAGGATCGAAGCTCGAGGATTTGGGATTGAGGTGGATCACTCGCGCGTCGGTGACCACGGAGGGGAGGCTCGAGGATTGAGGTGGTACAGGTACCAATACTGTTATGTCGGGCCTGTCCCCCTACAGGGGGATTTTCGACGAAAAATTAAAAATACGCCAGAAATAGCCGAAAAATAGCCCAAACATGGTCTGGGGACTATGTTTTGAATATATTTTTGCCTTTTTGACCATTTTGGGGGTATTTTTCATTTTTCTTCGAAAATCCGCCTGTAGGGGGACACGCCCGACATAACAATACTGCTACCCCTCCTGCGTTTTCCCCTTATGGGCCTCCTGGGCGGCCCTCATCGCCACCGCTGCATTCGCCTCTAAAATCTGGCCAGAACGCACCCCGTGAGATGTCCTGGATTAGCGGTGTCGGTATTTTTGGGGTTTGTCCCACAGAATCCCTCCCTCGCCGTCCTGGTCGAGCGCTGGCCTTGGCAACTCCCGACGTCAGGCCACCGGCAGCATAGTCATCGGCGTGGACGGCCTCAAAGCCTTGCCCTCAGGCTTGCAGGACGCGCGGGGAACACCAGCTCCGGCCTCGTCCTCCCATCCCTGGCCTCGTCCCACAGTTCGTCATCCTCGTCTTCCTCTCAGACCTCTTCTCGGCCTCTCTCTTCTTGTCCTCGTCGTCCTCCTCGCCGTCCTCACCCTCGTCCAGCTGCTTCTGCTGCTGGTGCTCCTCTTTCTCCTCTCCGCTTCTCTCTCTAGCTCTCTCTTTTCCTCTCCTCTCCTCTCCTCTCCTCTCCTCTCCTCTCCAGTCCTCTCCTCCCCTCTCCTCTCCTCTCCTCTCCTCTCCTCTCCTCTCCTTTCCTATACAAGTCCAGAAGGTGTTACACCGTCTCCGCGTAATGCTTTTCACACAGGATTTCATTATTAGGTCTTTGCTATGTTTTCTAGCATTCCGAATTTGCTTGTTTTCAAAACCGTGCTTTTGCTGCAGTGTTGGCCTCATTTTCAAATCGGTGGTTTGCTCCCGTCGTTCAGAATGTGGCGCTTTCGCCTCAGCGTGGGCCACTTTTCTGGATCTAGGTGTCGCAGGTCTCACATGTCGCACAGGTCCGAGAGGCCTTACAGGTCCCAGAAGTCTCACAGGTGTCGCAGGTCTCACAGGTCCCACAGAGGTCCCCCAGGTCCCACAGCTCTCGTAGGTCCCGCGGGTGCCACAGCTCTCACAGGTTTGGCAGGTCTCGCAGGTCCTGAATTTCCCACAGGTCCCACAGGTATCGCAGGTCTCACATGCTGCACAGGCCGAAAAGGTCCCCCAGGTCGCACAGGTCCCGCAAGTCCCGCAGGTCCCGAAGGCCCCACAGGTCCACAGCTCGCACCTGCCCCACAGGCCACAGGTTCCACAGGCCAGGCCATTGAAGTCCCACATGTTCCACAGGTCCCACAGATAGCACAAGTCCCACCAATCCCATCTGCCACACAGGTCACACAGGTCAGGCTATGAGACGCGTCCGCGTATAGAAGGGACGGGAAGGAGGGATATGATGTCAGATGTGGCGCGAGCGCACCTAGCTTGCCACTCGTCTTCTCTCTCTCTCTCTCTCTCTCTCCTTTTCTCTCCTCTCCTCTCCTCTCCTCTCCTCTCCTCTCCTCTCCTTTGCTCTTCCTCCTCTCCCCTCCCCTCCCCTCCCCTCCCCTCTCCTCTCCTCTCCTCTCCTCTCCTCTCCTCTCCTCTCCTCTCCTCTCCTCTCCTCTCCTCTCCTCTCCTCCAGACGAGTTATCGAAGTATTGGAAAGGCCATGCCCGATTCTGCTGACCCTGAAGGGGGCTCAGGAGGCTCCTCGAAGGCTGCGAGGGCAGGCCGTTGATGATCCCAGAACGGCTCGAAGAGCACCTCGAGAATTGAGCAGAACACTGTGCCACCTCTGTCTAGAGGACTTTCGGTCCATCCCGTCACCACCGTGCCTGGGTGGTGGACAAGAGTCCTTTTGAAGTGCAGAGGCCTCTTGGAGGGCTCTTGGGTTCCTCTTGGGGGCCTCCTTGGGGCCTCTTTGGGGCCTATTGGGGCCTCTTGGGGGCCTCTGGTAGCTCGCTTGGGGGCTCCAGGACCATGTTGGGGCCAAGGGCTTGAAATGCCAGTTCGTGTTTCCCTTCTCAGGCCTTTTGATGGACCCTACTGGGCCGTCTTGGGGGCCTGTTGGTCCCTCTTGGGCCATCTTGGGGCCTTCTTTGGGGCCTCTTGGGCCGTCTTGGGGCGATCTTCGGGTCCTCTTGGACAAACAAATCTTGCAAACACCAGAGGAAATCAATAACTCCACGTCTTGGGCCGTTTTGGGGCCATCTTAGGCGCTTTTGACTTAAAAAGCCGAAAGAGGGTCAAACTCCAGAAGATAATTTTCCTCTCCCACTCTCACTTCCAAGCAGCACCAAGTCACGCCGCGCACCTCTAGTTTGGTGGTAGTACGCGAGTCAGTCCCCCCGCCGCATCGCACTGCCAAGCCGCGGGATTCCCAGATACCGTCCCACACTACCTTCGGCATTGTGCCAGGATTATTTGGTACCATGCAGGGACAACTTGAGTCGCACTGGAATGCGATAGAGTTTTGGGGAGATCGGTGGGCATGAGGATCGTTTGCTGGCGCACGAGGTCACGGTCACGCTTCCCGCGAGCATGTTGGTATTGCTGGGCTCCCATTTGGAAGCGAGGGTGGTCGAGCGCGAGGTTGGCTTTCCTTCTTTTAGTTTTGCGCTCGAGCCCGGACGAAGTCATCTGAGGCGCCGTGGGCCAGCTCGGAGACCTCCTGGGCCGCCTTGGAGCCTTCTTGGGCCGTCTTGATGCCCATCCTCGGCCGCGCTCGGACGCTCACGAGGCCATCTTACCTGGGCGTCTTGGCCTCGGTCGACGCCGGGCATGTGCAGGTCGCCGCTGGGGG